AGTGAGGAGAAATACTTGACAAGGCTAATATATACAGTAGAGGAGAGTGAGATCAAGTCCCTCGGGGACCGTAGGTGTCCACAATGGTCCGGTCATAATGCAGTGACCCTGTAGTGGATCTCTTCCCTACAAGCCTAGCTGCATTCCAATGCGACAGTATCCTAGCAACCGGCGAGCTTCTCACGTGAGGGGGGGGGGTCGCCACCTGTGACGCTTGCCCTAGCAACGGAGTCCAGCAACAGGCTAGTTCCCACGGGTTTACTTCCGGCTGCTGTGTATATAAGCTCTCAGTCTCTCCATTGAGATGCATTTTACCCTACGTTCCTGAACATGCAACACCTCCTCCAAGCAAGCTCTTCGCTGTCCAGCTCTCATTCAACCTGGAGGACAGCAACACGCATTATCCCTCTAACGAAGCTCCTGCACAGATACCTCCTAAAGCACAGGGCTTCTACATACAATCAACACCTCAACCCGCCAGGATTCGAACCCACGGCCCACGAGCCTATGACTGAGACAGGGGAACGCTTTATTGGGCTAATGAAATATATATGGATCCTCTTGTTTCGAAGCCGGATTTGGTAAAACGTTACTCTGACCACCTACGTGATACGGGTAGTCCCCATTAGAGGTTCACGGTGCCATAAGCTCGTTGAACAGGCATTTGTGAAATATAACAAATTCTAGTATGGCTTTTAGTATCCTGGTGGTCCAGCGGTTAGCGTTCCCCCCACAGTCATCTAGGCCATGGGCCGGGTTCGAATCCTGGTGGGTTGAGGTGTTGATTGTATGTAGATGCCCGCATGCTTTATTGGGCTAATGAAATATATATGGATCCTCGTGTTTCGAAGCCGGATTTGGTAAAACGTTATTCTGACCACCTACGTGATACGGGTAGTCCCCATTAGAGGTTCACTGCGCCATAAGCTCGTTGAACAGGCTTTGTGTGAAATATAACAAAGTCTAGGATTGGTTTTAGTATCCTGGTGGTCTAGCGGTTAGCGTTCCCCAGTTGCAGCTAAGCTTGTGGGCCGTGGGCCTGAATCCTGGCGGGTTGAGGTGTTGATTATATATACTGTATATATATATGACAGTATGACTAGGTTAAATAAGTTCTAGGATATTATAAATAGTCTAGCATAATATATAGGCCATTAAATCAAGATTTTGGCCTTATTAATAGAGGGTAAAATGCGATAAAGGTAAAGGAACTGAGCACGCTCAGAAACCAGAATATTAGTAAACAAACAAATTTACCTGGTAGCGAAGCTGTCACCTTTGCCAGTTATAAATTATACACAACTACAGTACCACGTTACCTGTGTATGGGAAACGGCAGATGCTGGTATGTGCTTATTTTAATTCCAGTAACTAATTTTCTAAAGTTAATAAAGCAACAAAGGCAAATATGCGGCTGGTGACCATTAGTGGTTAAGTAATTATAAGTTTCTTTTTAATAGAGTTTTGGTAAAACTGCAGTTTTGGACAATACCTGTAGTTACTAGTTGAGCAATGTGGTTTTTCCGATTGTTTAGACAATTTTAAGACACTTTTCCTCTATGATGATTCCGGTATATTTCAGTAATTTGCGAGGGATACGTTATAAAGGAAGTGACTTAAAATTTTCTTAACAATCGGAAAAACACATTGCTGAACTCGAGATCCATATTGTCTGAAGCTGCAGTTATACCACAGTTTTGTATACTGATTATGCTTTTCCTTCTATTTATTTTGTTACGAACCACGCCATCAATTGTCATGATCTACCTACCCAGATACGAACCACGCCATCTATTGTCATGATCTACCTACCCAGCACTACGAACCACGCCATCTATTGTCCTGATCTACCTACCCAGCACCACGAGCAACGCCATCTAGGGAAGAAACCTGAGTATGCCTACTCTTAGTTATCCACTCCAGGTTTCTCTTCTCCATATCCTGGTTGTTGCGTCACCTCCTCCAAGTCTTCGTCAGCTCCAGTTCGAGGAGAGTTCAGTTCACTCTGGGAAGTGACCACAGGATCACCTATCCTGAAACCCACGGCACAGTGATTATCTACCGCCTTCATAATACTCAGCCTTACTGTTGCCATCTCAGCTCCGACTTAAGTATTTGTTATCCTATATTGCCTCCTGCGTCCACTTGTTCAAATTATTGTATGTTGTATAAATATGTATATACTGTTAATGTTTAGGTTAAGTATGGTTAGGGTAAATTATAAAGCTGAATATTTTGTCAAGGAATTTATGGTACTTTATTATACACAACAAAACTTCGCATCCTTTGTCTACCCTTTTATAGTCCGATTGTCTTTGTTTTTTTATTGTTGTTGCCTGTTGGGATCTGGGTAGACTTTTAACTATAACCGTACTTGGGTACAATACAACACATGATCCAGTAACAGTGAGTAGGCGAGTTATCCTTTATCAATGTTTCCCGTTTTCTGAGATTCTACTAGTGCGGTGGATTTGAATGTTATATAGCGTATGAATTAAAGGGGGTTTTTAGGAATGACAATGATGTGCGCAGTACACTGGAAACCAAATGATGGAGAACACTTGTGGAAGGTGGTCAAGATCAAAAGATTACTTTTTACTTTTTTTACTTTTATCCTCTTCACCACTAATCGGCTTGTTAGCTGCTTGGGCGATCGGTCACGTCTCTGTTACGCACTGTTGGCAAGTACTGTGCATGCACCGGCTCCTGAATGTACCTGAACCTGCTCCAGTGTTGGTCAAGTCTTGTGAAAAAGAGCTCACACTTGGTGCCGTCACAACACTTTCTGGTAGATTGTTCCAAGAGTTCACAACTCTCACTCTGAAAAAGTTTGCCCTCACAGTTTTCTGGACTTGCGGCTTCTTCAATCTTGAGCTGTGACCCCTTGTGGGGCAAGCGTCTGCCAGCTCCAAGTAAACACACTTAACTGAGTAGTGCCCCTTGAGATGTCTTGGGTTCAGATGAAATAGGATCAATTAAGGGTTTACCAACTAACATTCCAATAGTCATTGAAAATCCAGTGAGGGGACCTTGTAGTGGATTCCTCCTCTACAAGCACCGAACCTTCTCGAATTCCCCAGCCTACACCTCCAGCGCCGCCCACTGAGCGGGGGTCAACTATCTACCCACGCCTATCCCTGCCTTATAAGGCCTGACCCTGCTGTGACCACTCTCTCTTTTCTACCCAGTACCACCAGCAAGCAACACCTCCTCCTCCGCGCCAGCCGTGTGGCTGCCACTCCCCCAGCGACTTTGGTGTCCCTCAAGCCGCGTGCCCTCCTCCTGGGCACCCTCACCACCCAGCTCTCTCTACTCAACGGTTATTACCATGCTACCTACCCAGCAACAAGCTGCATTGTACATCCAATACAATATGTATACAGTGAGCACATTGTGAGTTTCCTTTCTCCATCCCATCCTGAGTGTGAACCAAACATCTCGTACCCCATAACCTCAGTATAGGTACCCAGAAGGCCAAGAATATTATTAAGGAAATGATGAGGGACATGAGAGATAGAGACATCATTGAACCACCAGCAGCTGTCTGGCTATCACCTATCGTGTTAGTAACTAAGCCCAGTGGGTCAAAATGTATGTGACTTGATTTCCGAGCCGTCAACAAACATTTAAAGGTAGATATACAACCATTACCAAGGTTGGATGAATTAGTAGCGAAGGCTGCCAGAAATCAATATTATGCCACCTTAGATTTGAAAGATGCTTACTATCGAGTAATTCTTGACCATAACAGTAGAGACATAACTACTTTTAGTGATGGATATAACTTATGGAGGTTCAAACGCTTACCTTTTGGATTGTCAGCCAGCCCAGCCATATTTACAAGGGAAGTAAATCAGGTCTTAGCTCCTTTGGCAGGAGAGGATTGGATAAGGAATTATCTGGATGATGTCATTGTCTGGGCAAATGATTTCAATACCTTAATGGGCAGATTGGATAAAGTATTTGACAGATTTGTGAACATGGGGATCAAGTTAAATCTATCTAAATGTCAGTTTGGTCAAAGACAAGTAAAATTCTTGGGTCATATTGTTTCAGAGAAAGGCATTGAGCCTGACCCAGAGAATGTAAAAGCAGTAACAGACTGTAAACCACCAACTATTGTCAAGCAAGTCAGACAATTTTGGGGGATGTGCGGATTTTATCGTAAGCATGTTTAAAAGTTTGGTAAGATTGTATATCCAATCACAGAACTCACTCAGATGAATGTCAGAAAGCTTTTGAAATGTTAAAGCAGGCATGAGCTTTCTTCCCAGTTCTTGTGAAGGTAAACCTGGCTAAACCATTTGAGTTACATAGTGATGCTAGTCATTTTTGTGTAGGGGCATCACTGAATCAATTACAGGATGATGGTTCTTTGTGCCCTATTGGTTATTTCTCTTGGAAGCTAGAGCCCGCTGAAACATGGTATTCCACCACTGACAAAGAAACATTAGGAATAGCGTTAGTATGTAGATTTTCGATCAACCGTTAATGTCTGTATTTAGCAAGAAAACCAAGTGTGTGTCAAAGAATGAACAGGTGGATGTTGGAAATGAGAGATTACACATTTAACAAAGAGTACAAGACTGGTAAGACAAATGTAGTCGCAGGTGCTTTGAGTAGACCAGTTAGGGCATTAAGAAAAGTAGCCAGGAGTACAATGGCAGGTCAGTTTCCTCAGCTAGACGATTTAACTCTCAGGCAATTTAGCATAGAACAAAGGAAAGAGAAGAGATGGGAAGAATTGGTTAATTATTTAGAAGGACAGATACCTAAACATAAATATCCCAAGACAACTATTGATAAATTTGAAGTAATTGAGGGAGCCTTGTATCTAGTGAAGGAACAAATTGATGGAGCATTGATGTATTGCCTAGTGGTACCTAATAATTTGCATAGAGCAGCATTAGAGTTGGCACATGATAGAGACATTAGATCATTTAGGACAGTGGAAGCACTGGAAGACCATAGCCAGAGTAGAGAGTCTGTTCTATTGGCCCAATTATCACAGAGACTGTGTGAAGTTTGTAGTCATGTGAAGTATATCAAAGATTTAAAGCAGGGGTCACCAAACTTTTTTCACAGTGGGCCGGATAACTGAAAGAATGACGAGCTGCCGGGCCACATAATCATTCTGTTCAATACTTGCAAGCCAGAACGAAAGCTCTGGTAACGTCAGAGCATGGGCGGAGCTACCACGAGCCGGGGAAGGACTTGATCCGCCCATGCAACGTAGTTTGGTGACCCCTGATTTAAAGGGACAAAGGGCCTAGTTACTAGTACAACAATGGCAAGGGATGTCAGAAGCAACTAAACCTTTAGAGAGAACACATCTGGATTTGACAGACATGCATCATGTTGTGAATGGATTTCAGTATGTGTTGACACTATTTCAAGTTTGACAATTTCTTTCCTCTGCGAACAAAATCCACTCAGGAAGTGACAAGAGAATTTGTCAAGTTCATTAATGTTTTTGGTTGTCCTGGTGTAGTCATTGCAGATACAGGTAATGGAAGTGAATTTACAGCTGCACAGTTTAAAGAATTATGCACAATAACTGGTATTAAGACTTATTTTACCATTACCTTCCCATTCTGGAGGTAACAGTGTTACTGAGAATGCACAGAACATTTAACACAACACTTGCCATCATTTGTGAAGATAATCCACTTCATTGGCCCAAATTTTTTATTTCTACTCGATCTGCTTTGAACAAGGTTGTGCATAATACTACTGTACTGGAATACAACCTCATTTTGCATTTTTCAAGACATGTATACAAGGACAAGTGTTTTGTTGCTGAAATATCCCCACTTGGGGGTCCCAGTGGGTCCTACATTGCCTGGGTTGTAAGGGTTAATAAATCTTTGTAAAGAAATTCAGCTTCAGTGGAAATAACACAACAGAAAAGCGATTATTCATTTATTTCATTACTTTAACCCTCACATTCATAATTCATCTTAACCTGGTAAAGTAGTATGTGCATCCTCATAAATCATCAAAGATAATAGAGAAAACCATTCGCTCAGAAAATAAAGTCAACATTCAATTTTGAGCAAAATGTAATACTCTTCAAAAAACCAAAAAGCAGATATTCATTTGTTTTTCTTACATATATCCCGTACCTTTATAAACATAATCGAATTATTTCAAATTAACACCAGATCACATTTAATGTACGTGACATGACACATGATTTAGTTTCAGTTAATTACAGGTTATATACTTGGTGAGTGTAAAACACATTAATACCATTTGTGAATTTACATATAGCATAGCTCAAGTAGAGATGCAAGGCTATTTAGCAAGTTTGTTACTTTGTGGATTTTTAGTTAAAGTAAAGTACTGGTAGAGTGGAGGCAAGTTATCCAATTGGTATTAGTTATGTTTGGTAGGTTTTGCAACATCAAGTTCATGAAACCAGATACTGTACAGTAGTCAGTACGGTAGGTGTATGAAAGGCACAAGTGCAGCAATACTGTTATTCATAACATTCATAAAAGTTTTGATTTTTTGTTTCTAAAGTTCAAACACTGCACTGTGATAATTTTCTCTTTAAATGTCAGTAAAACTGTACAGTACTTTTAGAAACCTTATTCATAAACTCATGATTTGGTAAAAAAATTATTGAAAACTGGTCAAAATTGCTCATCTTACTGATTCCAGAGTACTGTATTTTGCTCAAAATAAATATTGAATAAAAATTTTCCTGTGAAAGGTTCACACATGACAGTCAACAATACACACTCCAGACCAATATACAATTGTACACATTTCTTGCCTCTTGTGCAAACACAAAAGCATGACACAGCAACTGCTATCTGTCTTTTTCCTGCTTCTTTTACCTGCCCTTAGCAATGCTTGCACTAAATATGAATACAAGGTACATTGGACAACGTACAATTCAAAGTTTTCAATGCTGCAGTTTTATTGCAAGGGACTAATATATAAAAGGCTTAGTGATTATATTTGGCAACGATGGAATTATTGTTATGCAATACTGTAAATACTTTACAGTATACAGAAGAATATACTGTAGACTGTACACTCTGCAGAAGTTCTAATTAAAGTCCTTTAATAACTATCAATGAGCCTTTTATCATATTCACAGAAGCTAGTAGTACTTTACATATAAGACGCATCTACATTATGCCTAACAGAAAATTAATTGTTTCCACGTGTAGGAGCTACAACTTGAGGTTACATGGTTAATACAATTAATTTCATGGGTAGTTTTTACCTCATTTCTTCCTTGTAATAATATAATTTATTTTGACTCAAGTATAGCTACAAACATCCAGATCCTCAAACACATCATTAGGTTGGACAAGGCAGTCAAGGGCAATAACTCAACTTTTCTTTTCTGGTTATTTCTTTCACCACAATCCATCAAGAAAAATATTTTTTTTTTCTGGGGCAGTTGAAATGTGAAAACAAAGCTATTTTTATGTTAGGTCTTATGAGATATTGTGGAATCAAGAAAACTAACACTGTAGATAATGTACTTACAAGTGTCTTCTGTGCTACATTTTTAAATAACAACTTGCTTCTTAGCTACAGGAATTAGCAGAAGCAAGCTATTTTGCCCCTACTTTCATTGTAAGTGTGCTTCATGTAAATTTGGTATGAAAATTTAAACTCATTGTTTTAGGCATTTTAATAGACAGGTACAATTTCAGCATCACAAAAACAAAATTGGTGTAAAATTTTGTTTTATCGGTGATACTTCTACACAAATTGTCAGATGGTGATTGACTGGAAATTTTAATGTTACATTATCAATATTATTTTGCGATTTTTATACTAAACCCATTAAAATATATTGAAGTAACAAAATGGAACTTAATATAATATCTTAGTTTTTTTACGGAGTGACTTAGTAAGCGTGGTCCTTGATGAAGAGTCCGGCGTCACCAGCATAGCCCTTGCATGCCCACTGGTAGATACCCTGAGCCGCCTCACTGTCAGCCTGGGGAGAAAAATTAGTTAGAGAATTTTAACGTAATGCTTAGTTACTTAAACTTGAGAGCAACACAAGTTCTGGGGAACACTGCTGCCAAATAATTGCCTCAAATGAAAAACTTGAAAGTTTGAGAGATAAGCAATGCTGTACTGTACACCAAAACTTGTTCAACCATCATCAATATTTTATAGCCACTTTCCACGATGCTTGTGTGAGTTAGCTAATGGCAGGTCTCTTTCAGTCTCTCTCCTCATGTTCTTAGCTCTGATGTCATTTCTTATAAGCTCTCCCAAGGTTATTCTTGGCCTACCTTTAGTGCTCCTCTGTGTCATTTACAGCACTGCAACCTTTGTGTAACCCCACCTTCCACAATCACTGCACATTAATGAGTTGTTGCCAACGTCTTTCTTACAGACAGCACATGACCATTTTCCCTGTTTCACTATGCTGTATTTTAAACACAGATCACCCAAGCGGCTAACGAACCGATAAGTGAAGAGGATAAAAGTAAAGTAACATCTTCTCAACAACTATATGAATTAAATTTTGCCTCACTTTCTATGCTTGTCATAATAGGAGTAAAGGAAAGGCAGACATAAAGAGGTCTTACAGGAGGCATTCAAGCTAGAGAATTATATTATAACTAAATTTTAAGGATTGCTGCATACTGGGACTGTGCCTTAGACGAGACAGTACTTTACATGTACAGTATTAATGTTTTATAATTTTAGAGGGATGGCAGAGAACAAGGGAGGAACAAAATTGGAAAGCATTGGGAAACTATCATCCACAACCACGTTCAGAGACCTAGAATCAGAATTTGCAGTGTATATACGTAGTTATGTTAATGATAAGTGACATGGCTAGTCTCCCAGAGCAACTAGCCATCGCCAAAAGTTTCTGTCACAGTCTGTAATGCACCACATCATTCTGTGTCTAATTGTTATCGCCACGCGCAATTGTGCGTACGCCACATGTTAAGTGAAGAGACTGTTTACAACTCAAAATAGCTTACTAAGCGAGATGGAGCTGGTAGCAGCTATGCGATTGCATGAGGGGCAGACTATTGCCTTTTACGGTAGTGGCAACATCTTGATTCTCATCAGCCAACATCTTCCTGCAGGACATTATATTTGTTCTCGTTGGTCTAACCCTAGACCCGAAAACTCTAAATAACTTTAATAAGTGTATTTATGTACTGTATATTGATCATATTATTCAAACTGTGTGTCCTGATGTACCAGCAGTTGTTATATGGAGCAGTTGTTATATGAAATGTATTCAACAGGTTTTGACCGAATTCTACTCATCGCATAACGATGAGGGTCTTATTGTCCTGCACAGCCACAATTGTCTCGATGAGCGATTACACTAATGTGATGAGGGATAGTGAAACTGTATTACTTAAGAGCACTGTACATTTTCCCTGATACTTTCCAAAACTTTTCACTTTAATTCTAGGCCATTTCCACTATCAGTGGTGGTTGCAGGAGGATGTATCCCACTTTTTTATCATATACCAGTATGTACAGTGTTTGCCACAGCTATACCCTTTTTTTTCCGAAATATAATCCCCATTCAAATAGATGATCACTCAACCACGAAACAGAAGAATGGGGAAAAAATAGACCGCAGTGCCAGTCACTGTAAACAATACTGTACAGGTATCCCTCACTTAATGAATGGGTTAGGTTCCTTGAAAACCATTCATTGGGTTTCTATATTAACAAAACCCAATGGGGAAAATAGGGTTTGGTTCCCAATGACAAGAGGACCCAATATTACATAAACAACAAAAAACCTAACTAACTAATGAAAGATAGTAACCAAATATTGTAACTTTCTACCTAACACATTAAAAACATTAATAAAATTCTATCTAGATGAAAATATGCAGCTAAAACCATCATGAAAAAACTAAATGAAAGTTTAACATAAGATGCTAGCTGCATGGCCTCAACACTCGCCATAGCAATACAGCCTAGCTGGGATGCTGCCTCTGCAACGAGGCTCCCACACACTGCCCTGTATGTAGGATAGTGTGTTCATGTAAATCATTCCAAGATCTTTTCAAGTTTTCTAGGAGAATTTTGGATTTATGTGAGAAGGCTTCTCAAATTTTAAGGAGAGCCAGTTTTTACATCCCAGATTGTTGACGTTACACCTGAAATAGGTGATATTTTTGATAAGTTACATCTGCAATACATATTTTATCTGAAGGTACTGTATAAACTTATTTATAATTCAAAGGCAAAATTTTTGCATGTACAGTACAGGTACTGTAAGTAGTTACATTAACAAGTTTAGAAGTCTCCAATTGATGGTTAGAGTAAATTACGGTAGTTATTGTATCCTTCAAGTGTTTATGTTGTCTTTGTCTAAAAATAATCAGTATCTATGGTTCTTAATGGTACCCAAATGCTATAACAATGTAAGCTGCAAACCCATGAAATACAGAAGAAATTATGGGTGGAAGTACAGTACAATGGAACATATGGTTCAGTGAGCGAGAACGCAAGTCTTCTGCCAGATTTAAAGACAATGTTAATGCTATCACCAACCATAATTCTACTTCACAGAGACAGAATTAGGGATGCACCGGAACCTCGATTTTTATGAAGTTCTGGTTCCCAGCCGAAACTTCGGTAAAATACCAGAACCGGAACTTTTTATAGTGGTGCTGGTTGCTGTTTCATAAATTAAAATATAATTCATTGTTAATGCTTCTTATTTCTATTGGATAATGCAGCATAAAAAAAGTACTGAATGGTTGATGAGTATTGATGTACGTAGCAAAAAAAATTTAACATCTTAAATCACATATAATGTACTGTACATGACACCTTCTGTATTTAATATATAGAAAATCTAAATCAAAATATGTAATTATATAAAATGATGGTAAATTTCTGATGTCCGGCCGGAATTTCATATTATGGTTCCGGTGCATCCCTATACAGAATCTGTATGTGGGTTATTTAAAAAAAAAGTCTTTAGGTGAATATAGTAGATACACATTACCAGTACAGTATACAGTACAGTACTGTATTTATTTTTAAATCATGAAAAATCCAGGTACAGTACTGTATACCTGGATTCAATGATAAACAAAATTTATTTCAAACACAGTTTCTTTCAAATACCAGTACAGCATACTGAGTATTAAGTAAATGGTAAAGAATGATGAGTACTATAATGATTTACACATACCTTAGCACGTTTCAACAGCTCTTCCTGGCCAGCCTTAACCTGTTCATCCTTGCCTCCCCAAGCCCTGAGTACAGATGCCTGCAGAGCGACCATAGCTGAAGGTAAGTGCCCAAGGTTGTTTTGCAACAACACACTTATTGATAGCATCAAGATGAACTGAAGCTTCCTCCTCTGACTGACCACCAGACAGGAAAGTTACTCCAGGAACAGCAGCAGGCATGGTGCGCGGAGAGGGTAACCACGGTAGCCTATATAACACAGTATGAATTAGTGTACAATACAATAATAATGGAAATTTAGTTTTTCACTCAAAAATTTATTACAACCACCACACTTAATACTCTAAATCAAATCTTGATCCATACAGTATTGATGAACAAACATGAAGTTTTAGTACTCTACCTTGGCAACCTCTTCTGGGGTATACTTCTTCGCACATGACTGTCCAGCAGTGACCATGTTAGGCTTTAGGAGGGTGCCCTCAAGGAAGACATAGGTCATTAAGAGCCTTGTAGACAAAAGCAAGGACAGTCTCTGTCACCTTCTGTGCACGGTCCAGATCATGCTCACCATCGGGAAGTACCTGTTGTCATTGTATTGTAGGAATTACTAATAAATATAAATACCCTGCATCATCATCATTGAAAGAGGAAGGTAACACAGCTAATATGAGGAAAATTATAAGGCAAAGGTTTGTATATACCCTGTACTGTGTTGAATATGTTTTCTTATATTGCATCAACTTACCTCAGGCTCAACAATAGGAACAAGACCATTCATCTGGCAGATGGATGCATAACGGGCAAGAACATTAGCATTCTCAAGCATGCCTTGATAGCTGGGAGTGTTCTTGCCACCAGGACACAACGCCACTTGGCAAAGTCACAACCATCCTTCTTGTACTGAGCACAGCGCTGTGAGAGATCATCCAGACCCTGGGTGGTGCTCTCTCCCTCAGACCCCATCAGTGGCACCACACCTTTATCCACCTGCACAGTAAAAGGCATTGGACCACCTTGTTACCTCACTCACACATTAAATAAATAGGCCTTAATAAGCATTATTGACATCACAAATCATAAGGAACTACCACAAAACAATTGATATCATTAGATATGAAAACCAGAATGACAATATTATGGTAAATACAACATAGTGATATTTACCTTAATTCCAGCAATAATACCCTTATCCTTGATGAGTTTGATGAAAGGGGTTCCATCATCAGCTTTCTGGTACAGGGTCTCAGGGAAAAGGATCACACTGAAATGTAATCGGAAATGGACTGCAAAGAATAGACGAATTGATTGCAATATTAAATAAAAATTACTCTAGTATTGTAAATCAACTGACAATTCAACAATATATTTACTCAAATATATATATATATATATATATATATATATATATATATATATATATATATATATATATATATATATATATATATATATATATATATATATATATATATATATATATATATATATATATATATATATATATATATATATATATATATATATATATATATATCAATGTAAACCACAATGAATTGTTTCAGACTTCGAGCAACAGTTGCCTCTGAAGATGTCTGAAAAAACAAAACATTTTATATATATATATATATATATATATATATATATATATATATATATATATATATATATATATATATATATATATATATATATATATATATATATATATATATATTGTACAGTACTGCATGCAAGAATGCTGTTCAGTGGTGTGACAGCAAATGCAAAATTCCCTCAAATACTGAATGACATCAGAAGATTCATGTAAGATGCATACTCACTGCACTAATATGTGTTCAATTCCTCATTAACCTTTTGCATCAAAACTTTCTCATCATCAGTAAATCCTTTCTCACAGTCAATTAACAGTTTTTGTAAGGTCATGCACATACCCTGTACAGTACAGTACTTGTAAATTCATTATAGAGTTCAGGTTTGGCTAAATATACTTTGCTAACAAAAATAACTGCACAGTACAGTATTACCTTGTCAGTGGTGAAGAGAAGCTGGCGGTATTTGCGGCGGTGCTCATCAGTATTCTCAACACCAATATCAGACAAGCGTTTGCCCATGGTGGAAACAGATTCATCAGCAGCTAGGATGCCCTTGCCCTTAGCAGTGATGGCATTGGCAATCTTGCGCAGCTCATCCTGGAGAGCCTGATCAGGGTAGCTGAAGTAGGTAGTCGCGGTGGATCTGTAGAAGAGATATTTTACAGAATGACTAAAGATAAAAAGGAACAGTAACTTGTGTCTCATAGATCAACTTTTTTGTGCCAATGATAATAATTTATTAGTCTTGGCTGATTACCGGTAAGTATGATTTTGCATTTATTAAACACATGAAATGATATGATAAGTGAAATTTGTGAAAAGCCACTTTGAAGACCGTACCTGCATAAGGCCAGACTTTCATTAGTCCTGAAAGTTCAACTTAAAACTGAAGGAAACTGCAAGAAGTTAGGCAAATATCCTTTGACTCTGCATTGACCCTGACCAAATGAATGACACTTACAAGGATAACACTTCTAATTTATAATCTGGTACAGGTAACTGGAGAGCATTAGAGAAATAAGACTGCCAGTCTACCAAAATTATACTTTGACCTCAGTAGTCCAGTGTGTATAATGTAATTGGTAAGTCAACCTATCCCAACTAAACAGCTGTTTTCCACAGATTATCCTTACAAATACTGTATTAAGTAGATCACATGTAATAGCTGAAAGTGTTTAAAAGTAAGAAAGCTAATAAACAGAAGACAAAAAAAGGTATCAATAGATCAACACTTTTTTTGGGTGAAGTATACTGGAAATAAAATATACAGGTTTTGTTCTATGTACGGTGTAGCTAACTAGCAATGGATAAGGCCACAGATACAACTTCTTGATTAAACTTAATGATTGGCATAAAGAAAGTTCTGAGTTTCAAAATAAAACATTTAATGTACATAATACAGTACTGTACAGTACATTACTCTCATACCTGTGCTGACACCCTATTGGACTGTCACCCTAGATTTCACCAATACTGTATATCCACATACAGTACATTATCAGACAAACTAGATACAGTTTTTTTTTACAGTACAGAACTGTATTATAGCAACTTATTGTATAATATGGACACGGTGAGCACTCTTAAGCTGTGTATTCTTATATTACATAGGATTAATACATGTTCTTATGAACCAAGGGAAAAGTGTGACCTTTACCACCAAAATGTTTTTGTTCAGTCAGACTTTTACTTACAGTACAGTATATAATATTCTATTAAGAGAAGTGAAATACCGTAGTTATAAGGCCTGTAACAAGCACATTACACTGGGATATTCATTCCGAAAACTTTTCCCATTCTTAAAAATTACACAAGAAGTTATTTTAAACTTGATAAATGTAAAAAAAAATACAACAATTACCAGGAAAATATCTTAGTAATAAAGTCCATTACGGGTACAGTATACAGTCAACCCTCGCTTTACGCGGTCCCACTTTACGGTTTCCATCGCCACCGCACTCCCTGCCAACACGATGCTCACTTTCCGCGTGTGTGTACCCTTTACGGAGAGCGGCGCGAGAGGGTGCACACAAGGCCGCCCAGTCATCAAAATAATACGAAGTTCTTCACTCGCCACCCACCACAGCCGGCCCAAGTCAGTGATAATGATAGTGAGGATATGACATATGGACTTTGAGGGTTTGACAAAGACCCTGCAAGCCTCTGGTGGATAATGATACAAGGATACAGGTGAGGGCCAATAATCTGCCCTCTGCTCGAACCAACCGCCCATCCCCGTGCCCAGCCATCTTTCTACTAATGTAAGTAAAAACCTAATTTTATTGATATTTCTAATTATTAATTGTGTGTGCATACCATCATAAAATTAAGAAGTTATTTTTACTACAACGTAGGTATTGTGTCTGAAAAAGTGGAGTTTGGGGGTCGGCTCGGTCTCTATTTCAATTAATCCCATATGTTATGTTGTTCACTTTACACGGGCCGCCGTGGGTTCAATTGACAGAAGTGAGGGTACACTGTAACCGATTACTGTACCAGGAAAATATAACTATAATGTGACATCTGGTTAGTTCTTTAACTTAGAAACTATCTTACTAAACATGGAAAGCCACATCTATAATATAAGCTGAAGTAAACCAAATATGAGACCAGTGATTCCATTTCATTTCCTTTTCATATTGTTTCACTATTAGAAGCACATCTCCAGTTGCATTCTTGAAAACTGGACATCATTTTAGTTTAGTCGAAGGTTAATGTTATACAGTACATCCCAAATTTGAATGCACAAATAATGGCATTAATAAGGTGATGCTGTATTGACAAAAATGCGCTAATGTACAACAAATATTTAACCTAATAAAAATTATGTAAAACCTATTACTGTACCTCAATCGAAAATATTACCTTACTGCTCTTAAGTGTTACTACTCAATAAACTAGAGTACACGGTACTGTACTACAGTCTTTCAGCTTTAAAAATACTGCACAGTTACATTTAAAACACTAAAGTATAACCTACAGTGTCCTTAGTAAGTCTGCTAACACATACAGGTATGTATATGTTCTAAATTCAACAGTAGTTTGGTCCATTAATTTCAAAGGTAATGAAACAATATTGGTCCACATGAATAAATCGGACTGCCAATCACTTCTCGACTAGTATTTGGTGTCACAAAGTCACAAAAATTGGAACGATTTATTCATGTAGGACCATTATTTGACTTCATTGCGGCTACATTTGGGTAATTAGTCGGACCCGGCAGCCCTGCACACTTGGAAGATAATCACAGGTAAGTCCAATTCGTTTCTGTGGTATCAATCAGTTCTAGTGTTTTAAACTCTTACAGTACTAGGTATACTGTATTGGCGTTTAGTATCTGGAACAATAGCAGAATCAACAGTAAAATATGGTACCACTGAAGTACGATGATAATTAACTGAAATTGATTGAAGGGGGATTGTGGAACTGCTTCCAGAACCGGTTTCATAAATATAGTACAGTACGATGATTTGACTCTCAACAATGTGAAAATAAATAATTACACTTTATAACTTAAATAACGAAGCTTAACTTGTACCCCGGCATTGTAACCTTCACATGCTGAGTTCACCTCGTATGTTTTTGACCTTCCTCTGACATTGGGCAGCGGTCCATATCCCATCGACAAATTATTTCTAGTCATTTGCTCTTGTTTTTCTTCAAGTGCTAAATTTTCTAATGCCCAATACTTAAATTAACATTTACCTGTCCATTTCTCGAGGTGTGAGGATTTCCAAGGGTGTTTGGATTTCTACAGGTGTTATAACTTCTCCGTTAACACAATTGCCCATCAAAATAAAATTACTAGCAGGTTGGACACCCTTTATAAGTTTGTTTCGTCAGGAATGCTGACAACCCAATATGCACTCCACATTCCTGAGGCACAGGACACTGTATTGACGCATGGTGCTCACGCGCGGTGTAGCCTACAAGTCCAGACAGTACTGTATGGTGCTAGTGTTCAATGTGGCCACGAACCTCTGGCCAGAAACTGGGGGGTGGGCGTGCCTATAGAAAATATGCAATAACTATTTTTAAGGAATATCTGGTGTTGACATGTAGACGCAACTTTTTTTCATTTCATAATACTGGTATTCTTTAGTCTACCTTTATTATAAACTTTAAACTGTTAAAGTGTCATTTTTATTTAGTTGGTCAGGGGAAACAGGTGAACGTGACCCATTAAAGACAATGAGGTCATTCCCCTCCCGTACTCGCGCCGGCAAACTCGTGATCAATAGCTTATCTTGAAAGAACACACTTAAATCATAATCAAATATTGAAATTGAATTACACACTATCGGTTATTGCATATAATATCACCGTGTAGATCTACAATACACTTGTCTGCTAAAATTATCGATTTTTCCTACTGTCCTTCAGATTACAGTACACTACTGTGAAATCTAGTTACTTGACGTTTTAAGATATCAGTACCCAGTGTGATCCCCATAAGACGGTGATAGCCACACAACCAAGGACTGGCTGCCGGCTCTAACACCACTGGGGGCTCTCACCGGTAACACTTATCTCCAATATCCTGTTACGAGTTTTCGTTACACTTCGTCTCACGTTTCTTTCACGTATTTAGACACGATATCAGATATTTACTGTTGTTAGTATGGCCAAGAAAGGGATGGGGTAGTATTGTGTTGAGAGCAGTACCTGGTGTGGTGACGGAGGGGTCTGACGTCGCTGTGAGCTGTGCTTGCCTCGCTCGCTGCTATATTGTCACCTCTCTCCTTCAAATGCCCTTCGTCCCCTCAGCAGCAACACTGCGCACGCGCTCAATACACCCCGCGCTGCTCAAACCTTAATCATAAATTACGCCTCAAAATAACGGGTACGTACTATCGTGAATGTATTATGTAATTTGTGATTTAATCTCACCTTAAAGGAATATCAAATAAATACCTCATTGAATGACATGATATGTACAATACAAACTCATGCAGAAACTCCTCGAAATGACCTTGTCCTTGCCTGAGGGCGCCTCGCCTCCCAGTATTGATCACACCTCCCCCCTTGCCTCGCCTTTTATCTACAATCCTGCTTGTACATATTTTTATATTGAACTTTTTTATTCGTAAAAAAAATAACAACCACGTTGTATATTATAGTTACTCTACGATGTTAGTATAAAATGTTATGACGCGAAGGTCAGGTAATGCTACAAGCCGCAGGGAACGTTTGTCAGGTATTGATGATAGTACGAGGGCGGGTGCCACGGCATCCCCGGCGACAGTCTGGGTCATGCCGCCCTTCACTTGCTCTAGGTCACAAGGTTAGCGCCAGCCATCTGCCTTGCCTGCAGTAGACAGGCAGGCTTCTTCCTCACACGTTCTTTATGTAACATGGTTGCACTGGTCAGGACTCACAATATGGTTACGTCATTCCCTGAATGTTTGCAAGAACTTGAAATCTTTGTTCCTGGTTCCTAAAATAGTATACATGAGTCTAAGTACTAGAATGAGGAAAGGGCATAATTTTATTTGATTTAATGAATGGACAAGAAGCAAATGTTACAGCAAAATATACGCCAGCTTATAATATGAACGTAAACTTATTCAAAATATAATACTTATACTAGACATGGCGCCGTTAAGGTTAGGAAGTATAAGAGAATTTTCATTACTGTAGAAAATACAGTACAGTATTGAGAATTCTCGTGACTGATGTTTACGAGTAAGTCTGCACGTGACCATCAGTTGGCTCTCAACTGAATCAGTCATTTGGCCAAAATACTCTAAAAGACTAGCTATAAGGATTGTTTTATTTTGTTTTTGGTGCTTTACTGTTCATATTATCTAGAGTAAAGCATTAGCTGTATCTTTCCGCCGCTAAATGGTATTTACTGTACCAGTAATGTGTTCCTAAGGCTGCACATGTCATATTTATAATTAAAAAAAATTATATAACCATTTTATGAAAGATTTCAGTATATCATTGGAAGAAGGTTTCCGTTAAGTCGCATTAATACTTATATAGTTATATATATATATATATATATATATATATATATATATATATATATATATATATATATATATATATATATATATATATATATATATATATCATTAATGCAGCAGTTTAGTTTCTTATGTAGCTCGCAGATTAAATTCGTATTCATTTTGAAATAAATCCATTTGGTTTGGAGTATAAAAAAGACGAGTTAATAATGTGACGTAATTATTAAAGAAGTACCATCCGAATGTAAATATTCAACTACGTTACGATGACACTTTATTAACTGATAATTATAAGATGCAAGAAAGATCTGGGTGTACATTTATTATAACATATTAAAGTTCTCGGATCATTGTGAGAAGTTGAATATTGATAATAATTTGTGATTTATACAAAGATCTTACAAATACTTAGATATCCCGTCTCTCATAAAGCCTTTCAAACGTAGTGCTCCCTTACTTGAAGTATTATAATTCTGTTCGATGTGAGATACACCAAAGGCTACCAATTGATCGAGATCACCCCAAGGAGGACCACCACACTGGCGCCGGTACTGACACCTCGCTTACCGGAGATCTGCAAGCCTTTGGTTACCTATAATACTGAGGGGTAAGGACCGATTTGATATAAGTTTATAAGTACTTCATTAGGCCGCCCCACAAAAGGTCGCAGTCTCTAGTAATAGAACTTGTTAGTACAGAAAAATGTCTGAGTTAATTTCTTTGAAGTAAGTGTTGTGTAATCTCGGAATATCCTGCTAGATAATGTTGTGACAGCATCAAGTATGAACTCTTTTAAAACCTGACTTGATATTCACGAGCCTGTACAAGCCCAGAGAACTAACCGATCCCCAACCGGCTAGTGGGCTGACCAAGGGCAAAGAGGCTAAGCAAGTTCATGTGATGTTCGTAGAATGATCATTCACACAGAGCAGGATATTATTTCTATACGTCACCCACTGATATCACAAGGTCTAATGTCATCCGCCAATCAGGAGACAAAACCCATCGTTTATATGTTTCTGTGACAATAGATATATCAGTGTAGCTCTTTGCTATTGTTAACAGGTAAAACATCATCAATAGAGCTATCGTCTCCAGTTTCATTTATAAAAAAAATAATAGTAACAGCAACTGAAATAACTTTATAAATAATAATAATAATAATAATAATAATAATAATAATAATAATAATAATAATAAAAATAATACCATACTTGGCGGAGGTTAAAGTATTGAAAACACAGTATTTTTTATCAAAATTTATGAGATACATTAATTTGTATTCTGTGTTGTATTCACCTTACTACCTGGTGGCAATCAAAATGGCACTAACAATTTCGTTACTTTTTTCTGATAATCTAAAATTCTAATGTACTGTACTTACAAAGTATATTTTTTTTAACGCTGTAAGAGGATCAGCTTTTATTTGTGTCTATTGGGTGGCAGGCGTCTTCTGCTGTATATCAATCAAAGAAAAATGTGACCATACGTTCTGATATTTGGCAAGTTTGTAACAGAGCTAGCCGACCGGTCGATAACCTAACACGCGGTGAAAAGAATAATCAAATTGATTTTATATACTTTTTCTTAAAATCTGTGAATTTAAAAAAAAGTAATAAGAAGTCTAGAAATATCTACAAGTCAAAATTCTACCAACTTGCACATTGCACATACTCCACGGACGTACAGCCAAACAAAAAACCATCTACGTATACAGAATTGTGTTGGAAATATAATGACAACGTAGGAAGAATTTTGGCAACTCTACCGAGACAACAGGAGTCGCAGTGTTCATTAATAATTTCATCGATCCCCCCAAACAGATAGTTTTTAAGTGACTACAAAGCCTTACTTTGAATTTTCTCCCTTAAGATCACCAAAGGAGAAATGAATACCCTTTAAAACAGGATATTTGATACAGGTTCATATAACAGTGACAGCTAATGACGTACATTATGTCAATAATTACAAAGATACGAGATGAGAATCACGAACAGCGTAAATATAATATTTTAAATACTAAAGGCATTGCAACCAACCTCCCCACCCCATGACATCACAACTGCTACTACCTGACAACAATGGGTTCAAACTGGTCACATGAAAGACCTTGGAGGTGGTGTGTGAAGGTGGCCAGAACACTAGGAAGAAACAATAAAGGAAATTTATATCTACAAATTGGTATAATAAGGTTTCGAAATCATCATTTTATCAATTTTGTTCAGTTAATTCCGCGTTTCAATATTTGTAGTAACTATGGGGCATCAGCAGTGGTTGTATTGTGGGAGTCCAGCCCCATGGCCAGTGTAGTGAAATTTTATTCTCTCTCCAGATAAACACGCCTTATTGATACTGTCTCTCCTAGGCCTGAGGTTTAGAAATATAAAACAAGAGAAATGTGAGCTGAAGGGTGGTTTCCAGGGGGTACGGCTTGGCATTCAAAATTATATATACAGTATTTCCCATCTCAAATCATGCTGCCGCCATATAAATATACAGTACTATGATAAATTACTGTATGCAGACACCGGCGGCAACAGTTACCGCTCTAATGACGTGTCCCCAGTGCGCAGCATGAGGAAACACGACAGGATCATCAACTCAAGTTTTCTCACATGTATATTTCACTTAATACTTGTAAGTCTTAGCCATGGCGAGAGCACACTATGAAAATACGTCATATTTATTTAATTGGACGAAATTTACTCTAAGTCGTTATGAGTTTACTTATGTGAGAGGATTTCAAGAAGCTTGTGACAATCGTGGCAACTGCGTGAAAATTTAAAATTCTCAAGTTGGGAAGAATCTGCAGGGTGTGTGTGTGTGACCTTGTGTGTGATAATTTAAGGCAGCTGTGGTAACATTGACGAGATCATTTCAGATTTG